ATATCATGCTTATCTATTACAATTCCATTGACTCCATTCCCACACTCTACTCCACATCCCGTGACTATATGTATATATCATTATAGTTAACATACAATATTATTCAACATCAGCTTCAGAAATATAATGTGGTGGTCTCTTTAACAGGACATGAGTCCAACTGGCCCCCTAAAAAATATAACATTATTGATTATATTCCCCAGACTGTCTTTTCTATTCCTGATTTAGCCAACTATTCTGATGGTAATTTTATTTGCTCACTCTGAGTTTTAGGTAGATAAAACTTCTGAAAGCATGAGACCATAAATTCTTGCTGATAGAATAGATATAAAATAAACCTTCACTACTCTATTTTTGTCAGTAGTATGAATTAGTGAAAGGCCTCTAAATAATGAGTTTCAAACAACTCAGATAAAAATTAATGAAATATTAACTAATGAAGGCTCTTAATACACAGATCCAAATTACATATTAGTAAAAGAACTATATATAAAGATGATGCTTGAGATCACCCTCCCTTATCTGCTTAATGAAAGCAAGGGCTTATACTTGCTGGGAAATAATATCTCCAATTTATTTGTGCCCCTTTTCACTTCCCTAAGTAATATTTGAGAGTTTTCAGTGTAGGCTTTATAATTCTTTCATTAGATTTATTCCTAGATACTTTTGTTTTTTGATACTTATGTAAATATACACCTATTTTTCATTTTCTAATTGTTGATAATATGGCTTTGGTTTTTCAACAGGTTGTTATATGCCTAGGTGTGCTTTGCTTTGTATATATCTTGCTTGAGGGTCACTACATGTTTTTTGGATCTGTAGGTTATTTATCAAATTTATAAAAATTTTGCTCACTCTTTTTAATACTATTATTATGGTAGATGGTATTATACATAAAATGTACTATTTTAACCATTTAAGTATACAATTCAGTGGCATTAAGTACTTTTACAATGATGTGCAACCATCACCACTATTCCAGAAACTTTTCATCATCCTAAACAGAAACTCTGTACCCACTAAACAATAACTCCTTCTCCCCAGCTGCTGATGTCTATTCTACTTTCTGTCTCTATGAATTTGTCTATTCTAGATATTTCATATAAGCGGAATCATACAATATCTGGCTTATTTCGCTTAGCATGTTTTCAGGATTCTTCCATGTTGTAGCATGAATCAGAACTTCATTTCTTTTTTTTTTTTTTTTTTTTTTTTTTAGCTGAGCCATCCTGCCACCTGTTGGCAGCTCAGCAGCAGCTCAGCTCGGGCCAGGCATCAAACCGCTGTTGCTCAGAGCTCAAACTCATGCTCTTAACCAACTGAGCCACTCGGCCAGCCCAGAACTTCATTTCTTTTATAGCTGAGTAATATTCCACTGTGTGTGTACTGCATTGTTCCTTCTGGCTATTGTAAGTAATGTTGCTATGAGCAGGGGTGTGCAAATATCTCCTTGAGACCCTGCTTTTGTTTTAGATTTATACCCAGAAGTGGAATTACTGGTTCATATTAGCAGTAATTCTATTTAATTTTTGAGGAACCTCCAAACTGTTTTCCACAGTGGCTGCACAAAGAGCAATATACGGAGGGCTTCAATTTCTCCACATCCTCATCAATGCTTGTTGTTGTTTTTAATCATAAAGTCATCTAGTAGGTGTGAAGTCGTATTTTATTGTGGTTTTGATTTGCTTTTCCCTAATGACTAATGATGTTGAGCATCTTTTCATGTGCTTATTAGCTGTTTTTGAGTTTGAGACATGTTTAAATTGTGTTGTCTTTTTGAGTTGTCTTTGTATATTCTGGATATCAAATCCTTATTGGACATATGGTTTGAAGCTATTTTCTCCTATTCTGTAGATTGCCTTTTCAGTGTCTTTGATGCATTTAAGTTTTAAATTTTGATGAAGTCCAATTTATTTTTTCTTTTTTGCTAATGCTTTTGGTAGCATATCTAAGAATCCATTGACAAATCCAAGTTCATGAAGATTTTACAGCTATGTGTTCTTAGAGGTGTGATTTAGCTCTTATATTTAGGTCGTTGATCCATTTTGAGTTAATTTTGTATATGGTGCTGGGTGGTAGGGATCCAACTTCATTGTTTTGCACATGGTAATACAGTTGTCCCAGCATCATTTGTTGAGGTGAGGTCTTATTTTTGTGAATCCAGAGTAGCACAAGGCTTCCCACAAGTAGACATTCAGTAAATGCTGCATAAAGTAGTATCTTCACATATGTATTTTCTAGAAAGTAACGTGTTATGGTAGTGAAAGGTTTTCATTTGAAAGTATGAAAAGAGGTTGATGAATCAAAATGAGTTTCAAGTTTACGATTTGGAACTCTTTAGATTAATAATGGAAAATTGTGTGCTGCTTTCTAGATCAACTCTTTCCCAATTTGGACAAGTTCCCATGCCTGAAAGAGCTGTCTGTGAATCTGGATAAAGAAAATATTTTTTCAGTCATTTCTGAAGAATTCCTAAATCTCCACCATATGGAAAAATTATGGATCCGAATTTCAGGGGAGGATAGTCCTTCCAAACTAGGTAAGGGTGGCACTTTGATGTACTTATTTTTATATCACTTGGAAAAGCTTGACCAATAATTCATTTAAGAATGAAAACTTGTGTGGATGTGGCCTGTATCCATGGTAAATTGTGGGACTAGCACCTTCTCAGTAAGAAAGCCGAGAGCTATTTGTAATTATGGAGCCTTTGCTGCAGGCTGGGAATTGTTCCAAGCACTTTACACATTGAACTCATTTGACCTCCACACTCATTCTATGAGGTAAGGTACTATTGTTATTCTCATTTTACAGCTTGGGAAATTGAGGTATAAAGAGATTAAGTACTTGGCTCAAGGTCACCCAGCTAAGGAAATGATAGATGTGTGATTCAAACACAGGAATTCTGACTACTACTAAATTTGAGCTCTTAAGCACTGGTATACTGCCTCTCCAAAATAATTTGTAGAGTTCTTTTATTTAAATTGCTCTTCAGTGCAATTTACAGATATGTCAGATTAGGTAGAAGGAAATATTCTGGTAGCAATCAGAAGCACGTACCTGTTTTTCTCGTGGTTGATGGACCACTTACTTGTACAGCCATCTTTCATAAATACATCATTTAGCAGAATGATTCTGGCATCAGCAATTCCTTACTTCAGTAAGACTGAACACTAAGGACTGAGGAAATGTAAATCTCTATGGAACTGACACGCAGGGCTGCATGCAAAAGAAGTCCCTGAAGCTGAAGCTGGAAGTGGTAGTTTTTTCACACTTGTCAGCAATTTTCACATCAAATCTAGGTTTTGTTTCAGAGTTGCTTTTCGTCTCTTTGCTTTTGTGTTTCTTTTTTTTTTCTTTTTTTTTTTTAGCTGAGCCATCCTGCCACCTGTTGGCAGCTCAGCGGCAACTCAGCTCGGGCCGGGCATCGAACTGCTGTTGCTCAGAGCTCGCACTCTTGCGCGAGCTCTTAACCAACTGAGCCACTCGGCCTACCCCCAGCTTTTGTGTTTCTTTATATAGTATTCCTTTTGTGTAAATGTCAGACTTAGAGACATTAGGATGTTATGTTAAAGCTGAAGGTGAGGGGCAGTGGTTAGCGCACAGGCTCATAAAACCAAGGTTGCCAGTTCAATTCTCGCATGCGTCAAGGAGCTGCAGCCTCAACTAGATTGAAGATAACTGCTTGACTTGGAGCTGATGGGTCCTGGAAGAACACACTGTTCCCCAATAAAAATGTATTTAAAAATAAAAAAAAGCTGAAGATGACTTTACTGAGTCAATGCCCTTGTTTTACAGGAGAGAAAATGGATCACCAGAGAGGGTCACTAGCTACATGTCCGAATTCAACATAACTTGCTAGTTATAGTTAGGTGCAGAACCTGAACCGAAGCCCCAAGTGGCCTGATTCTTGGATCATTACATCATGGTGCTTTGTTTTAATTCAGTATTGTTGAACCAAAACAATAAATTATGTGGCTAATCCTGATAGAAATTTCCAATCTTCTCTAATTTCTCAAATCATTGATATTTTACAGTTAAATTAATTCAGAATTCTCCAAACCTTCATGTTTTCCATCTGCAATGTAATTTCTTTTCGGATTTTGAGTCTCTCATGACTGTACTTGCTTCCTGCAAGAAACTCAAAGAAATTAAGCTTTCTGGAGCATTTTTTAAAGTCATCCCATTTGGTAAGAGCTGTAATTGTAAAATTTTGGTTTAAGATGCTTCTGTGGACAGTCATTCTAAGCACTTTTTAAAAATATGTAGCCAAATTTTAAACATGCAATTGATGTCAAAGAACTATTGCAATAGGTATCTGATCTTAAATGAAGTTATCGAATAAGTTGTGTTTGTTTCTAGAAGCTTAAATATTTCTAGTTATCAGCATTATTTCCTGAGCAAAGGTTTGTTTTATCTTAGTCATACTATTTAGTTCAATCTGAATTACTGTATTACTTTTTGTCACTTTAAAAATATTCTTTAAATACATTACTTTTTGGTATAAGAGATATAGCTGATGTAACTAGACTTTTTTTTCTCTTTTACAGTCATCACTTTGCCAAATTTTATTTCTCTGAAGACATTAAATCTTGAATTCCAACAATTTCCTGATAAGGAAACATCTGAAAATTTTGGTATGTTTACAAAACAGTGCCTTTTACTTATTATTCTCTTCCCTACAAAACCCATCTCCTATTTCGCATTAGCTACAAAAAAATCGTTATTAGTTGCCATAGCTAATCAGGAGGGACAGTGCTGCTCAACTTTTACCTCCCAGATGCATTCATCTCACTCAATCTCATTCAAAGCAATATCCTCAGAGTGCCTTATTTCTTAGAATACATATTTGGTCATTATAGTATTATGCAATTTCATTGTCAGGTACCCATTCCAAACATCTTAAGTCTGCTGTTTCAAAGGTCACTGAGGTATAGATGAAACTATCTTTTAAGGTTAAGAAAATTCAGTATGTGAAAACTTGGCTTTAACAACATGATTAAGTATAGAAAGAGCTTAAATACTTTTTCATGTTTTTAATGATTACAAAAGTAATGTATGCTCATGGAAAAAAATTCTAACAGGTGTTAAACTGAAGCACATTAAAAATTTAAGCATTTATTTGAACAAAAATGGATTTGAATTGGGCAGCATCCAGTCTAGCAGATAGAAAGGAGCTCTGAGGAGCTGTACAGAATGAATGACTTTTATTGGCAGAAGACAGCAGGAATAAGGAAGTTACCGTATTTCCCCATGTATAAGATGCACCTTAATTTTGGGGCCCGAAATTTGAAAAAAAAATGTATTACATAAAGTTATTGAACTCAAGTTTTATTCATCATAAAATTCTTACAACTCCTCATCATTGTCAAAACTCCCAACCATTAGCTTGTCCTCATCTGTGTCTGATGACGAATCACTGTCTTCATAGATTGCCTTGTCCTCAATTCCATCTATGGCATTTGAAATGCCACACTTCTTAAATGACTTGACAATGATCTACAACCACTGTATAAAACACACCCAGCTTTTAGACCCCAAATTTTTCGAAAAAGGGTGCATCTTATACATGGGGAAATATGGTATACTAGGTAAAAGGGCGGGTTGGTTATTGCAAGGTTACTTTCCTTTAGGGGATGGCAGGGGTCCATCAGGCAGATTACTTAACTAGTACTGCTCAGGCAATTCCTGATTGACTGGTTTAAGATTCCATTTCTGGGAGAGCCAAAATGCTAAGTCTTGGTTTGGTGACATGGGGCTTAGCATATGCAACTCCATTTTGGGCTGTTGCCTCATTTTTAACACAGGAAAATATAAGTGGAGATAGGGAGTGTTGAGCAGCACTGCTTCTCAAACTTGAGCATGCTTCAGGATCACCTGGATCTCTTCCTGTTTTCTTCCTTTGGAGGTAGCTGTGTTGGTGAGGGAGGTGCACAAGCACTGAGGCAGCAGAGGCAGGATCTGGGGCCAAGGAGGTGGCTGGTATGTACAAAAGATGGATTAAGCAAATCACTTGAGTATAATGAGAGCCAAGTTTCCTCACTATTAAAGAAATTTATAAATATTGAAAGGGGAGGCTAGAAAGAACTTTGAGGAAGCATTAAATTAGAATTGGAATGTGGGCTCATGTTTTTAACCTATTCACACAAATAAACAGATCAATATACACATATAGATATCCATTTATATACACACACTAATATACATATTTCTCAGCTCAGTCAAGTGAGAGACTAGAAAACACCTTAATAGCGATGAGCACACCAAATGCCCAGATCTTGACTTCTCAACACTGGCTTCCCTAAAAGGAACCAAGGTTCTTGGAGAAATGGCAGATATAAACTGGGACAGGGAAAGTAAGAGATAAATCTGGAACATAGTTTTATGCTAGAAAGTGTCTGAAACATTTCCAGATATAAGGCCTCAGAAGTAGAGAAGTTTCTAGGGATCAGTGATCCATAATGTACCATGCTAAGGAGGGATCAAAGTGAAAAGGAAAGCTATGAGAGTGGTGGATTGTGAGACTTTAATGCTGCGGGGACAGAGATAGAAAGCACTGAGGTACTAGCAGGAGGTGGGATTGAAAAGAAGGGTGCTGAAGGCACTGAGCTAGGAGAGAGCCAGTAGAAGCTTCATTCTAAAAGAGGAAATGGATATGTGATAGGCATTCTGGACTCCAGTGCAGAGCAGATTGATCAGGGGAGGGTGGAGGAATGGTTGTCTGGAGGGAGCAACGAAGATCAAGGTATAGGCTGACCCCTTTCTCTTGGCCTTGGAGAGGAAGAGGAAAACCTCTATGCTACATGGGGAGTCCTGGATGGTGCATAATTTTGAGGCTATAGATTACCATTGTTTGGGAACACAGTATGGAAAATAACTTTTGTGTCTCTTCTGATAGCCTACACTTTAGGTTCTCTTAATAACCTGGAAGAATTGATCCTTCCTACTGGGGAGGGGATTCAGCAAGTGGCCAAACTGATCATCCAGCAGTGTCGGCATCTTCAATATCTCCGAGTTCTCTCATTTTATCAGACTTTGAATGATGACAGTATAATAGAAATTGGTGAGTTACCCTCAAATAAAATGTTTCAGCTTGCATGAAAGCCAGTGATATTACTTATGTTTTCTGCTGCAAAATGTCTATAAAAACTTTTGTCTCTCTAAAAATCTTCAACACACTTCCTCATTTTCGCTACCTTATTGTTCCCTCTTACGTTCTGTGGATTTAGGTTCATTTGGCCAGATTTAGAAGTAAAGACGGCTTCCCATTTAAGGCTATACAAGCCCTCATGGCTGTGTTCTTAACACCTAGCATTGCAGACACCTGGCCACAAACCATGTACTTTTTACAGTATTTTAAAAAATGGAATATTAATACACATACATAAAAGTACACAAATCATAAATGTACAGATCAATGTTTTCATTTTCTCAGTACCTCAGTTTCTAAAGTTAGTCATGCTACAATCATGGACTCTAGAGTGAAAACAAACCTAACCTTAGCCCAAATTAAGAAAAAGAGATTTACCAATTAAAAACAAAACAAAAACCTTGCTAGGTATCCACTTCCAAAGTAAAGTCAACGTATATTGAGAACTAACTGTGTGCCAGGATCCCATGTCCTTCAGAACCCTCAATAACGGGGGTCCCTTCTGGGCAACAAGTGGAGTGTTTAGTAGCAGACAGTGAGAAGACATGGTTTCAGGAATGTCACATCCTATTCTCTGTAAAAGGGGAGATGTGGTTGCCACAATCTCTATGTTTTCCTGCCAGACCAAAGGAGAAGTCCAAAATTGTCCAGGATGACAAGACTAGCACAGCAAAAGTGGTCTCAGGGCTCTAGGGCTTAACTTAACTTCTCTGTTCTGCTTTTCTCTTGGGTTTTGGCCAGACAGTTCTTTATTAACTTAGCTCTTTGGGACTTTAAAGGAGATATTTTAAAAATATTCTATCGGGCATTTTCTATTCTCAGTGGTGGTGGTGGTGGTGGTGGTGATGATGGGAGAGGAGGTCAGTTGAAATAACCTAGTCTATGATTGAAATAAAAGTCCTTATGATTCTGTTTTCATAAATATTTTGCTTTTATAGCCAAGGTAGCAATCGATGGAGGTTTCCAGAACCTTGAGAACTTAAGTCTTTCAATCAATCACAAGATTACAGAGGAAGGATATAAAAATTTCTTTCAAGCACTGGACAACCTGCCAAACTTGCAAGAGTTGACTATTTCCAGGCATTTCACGGAATGTATCAAAGCTCAGGCCGTAACAGTCAAGTCTTTGAGTCAATGTATGTTACGGCTGCCAAGCCTCATCAGACTTAACATGTTCAGCTGGCTCCTGGATGAAGAAGATATCACACTGCTTACTTCTATGAAAGAAAGACATCCTCAATCTAAACACTTAACTATTCATTGGAAATGGGTACTGCCATTCTCTCCAATCATTCAGAAATAGATTTAGCTAAAAACTGCTGAATCAAGAAAATTTTTGTCAACAATTCTAAAAACCTAATTATCCAAAAATATTTTATTAAATATTGCATACAAAAGAATATTTGTAAAATATATAAGGAATGTAAAAAAACAACAACAATCCTGCTTGCCCATCACTGAGTTCAAGAAATAGATTATTACCAGTATCTGTGAAGTCCCTGAGTGATTCTCCCCAACTAAAGATCAGCCCTTCAATCAAGTTTATACATCTAACCCTCCATTCAGAGTCAGCATCAGGTTTTCAGGTTAACTATGGTAAAGAGTAACAAAGCCACAGGGAGGGGTTGGGGAAGATACACTGATCTATCTTAAAGCCACAATATGGAAGAAGTATTCAAGTTACATGTGAAATGACTAACCTAAGGACTGAATCAGTTTCATACATAGATGAAATAAGAGTTCACTTCAGATGAATCTTTTGTGGGCCAGGAGAGATTCCTTAATCCTATGGAACCTGTTTTGCATTTCCCTTTGGTGGAGTAGTTTACTTACACCTTCCGTTTATCCACTGCCATTGTGAAGAAATAGGGTTTAGGGGGAAATGCTTTTATTCCAGAGGCTTTTGATTCAACATTGCTATATAAGCAAAGAAAATGCAGAATAGAATTTAGCATTACTGAAGATTACCTAAATTTGTGTTTTCTAGAAAATTGAGTATCAATGCTTTTTTACATAACCATGTTTGATAGTTCAACATATGCTATAATAGTCTTAGAATTTTCTTATAAATCCACTCTGCTTAGGCAGAACATATTTTCTCTTTAGTGACTTCATATGGCTCAAGGTATTACATTTAATGTGAATGTCTACATGTGTTTGTCCTACCAGTTAAGCAGCAGAATTTTCTGAATGGTTTGCCACCAAAGTACTCTTTATTCAGACTTCTCCATCTCATTAAATGGCAACTTTATTCTGCTACTTGCTTAGACCCAAAACCTTGTGTATCATCTTAACCCCTCTCCTCTTTCACAATTCACATGTAATCTATTGGCAAATCCTGAGCCCCACTTGCAAAATACACTCAGATCTAACCACTACTAATACCCACTTGTCATAACTAGTTGGCCTGTTTCCTTCCTTGAAACTTCTGATCTATTTTCAACATAGCAGCCAGAAGGCTCTTTTTATGAATCAGATCATGCTACATCTTTGGTTCAAAACCCTCCAATGGATTCCCAGCGCAAAGTAAATGCTGAAGACCTTATAGTGGCCTACAAATGATCTGACCCCAGGCTACCTCTCTTACCTCCATCTCAAATCTTCAACCTCTCCTTGCTCACTTCCGCTCAGCCATGGTTTCTTTGCTGTTTCCTGAACATGCTAAACATGCTCTTGTCTTGGGGCCTTTGCACTTGTCATTTTCTTTGCCTGGGAGGTTATCCCTCTGCTTATGTGAATGGCTCTCATTTCCTTCAGATCGCTGCTCAACTGTCACCTCAATGAGTTTACTGACTTTCTTTTTAAAAAAGCATCCCGACTTCCAGTCTCACTCTGCCTGACCCCTTTCCCTGCTTCACTTTTCTCTACAGTATGTATCACTGTCTGCCACCTTATAAAAGTTCACTTGCATACAATGATAACATAGTTCAGCAGACAAACAGAGATGAGCAATATCTTTTGCTCCACTAAAAAGTTTTTTCACAGCAAAGGAAACCATCAATAAAACAAGAAGGCATCCTACTGAATGGAAGAAGATATATGTCAATAATACATCTGATAAGGGGTTAACATCCAAAATTTATAAAACACTCATTCAACTCAACTCGTTCAACTCAATACCTAAAAAACAACCCAATTAAAAAATGGGCAAAGGACATGAAGAGACATTTCTCTAAAGAGGACCATACAGATGGCCAACAGGCATGAAAAAATGCTCAACCTCATTAATCATTAGAGAAATGCAAATAAAAACCACAATGAGATACCACTTTACTCAGGTCAGAATGGCTATCATCAATAAATCAACAAACAACAAGTGCTGGCAAGGCTGTGGAGAAAAGGGAACCCTGGTGCACTGTTGGTGAGACTGCAGATTGGTGCAGCCATATGGAAATCAGTATGCAGGTATCTCAAAAAACTGGAAATGGAACTACCTTATGCCCCAGCAATTCCACTCTTAGGTATCTATCCAGAGAAATCCAAAACGCTAATTTGAAAAAAAATATGCACCCCTGTTTATTGCAGTGCTATTCACAATAGCCAAGACATGGAAACAACCGAAATGCCCATCAGTAGATGACTGGATTAAGAAACTGTGGTACATGGGGTGGCTGGGTGGCTCAGTTGGTTAGAGCCTGAGCTCAGAGCAACAGGGTTGCCGGTTCAATTCCCACATGGGCCAGTGAGCTGTGCCCTCCGAAACTAGATTGAAGACAACGACTTGAGCTGAGCTGCCACTGAGGTGCCAGTGGGTAGCCGGTTGTCTCAGTTGGTTAGAGTGCATGCTCTTAACAACAAGGTTGCCGGTTGGACTCTCTCATGGGATTGTGGGCTGTGCCCCCTGCAACTAGATTGAAAAAGGAGACTGGACTTGGAGCTGAGCTGCACCCACCACAACTAAGACTGAAGGACAACAACTTGACTGGAGCTGATGGGTCCTGGGAAAAACACAGTGTTTCCCAATAAAGTTAAAAAAAAAAGTTGTCAATATCTTCCTATATTAAAAAAAAGAAAAAGAAAAAAAGAAACTGGTACATTTATATGATGGAATATTACTCGGCCATGAAGAATGAAATCTTACAATTTGCAATGATATGGATGGACCTAGAGAACATTATGCTAAGTGAAATAAGTCAGAGAAAGACAAATACCATATAATTTCAATTATATGTGGAATCTAAAGAACAATAGATGAGCAAACTAAACAGAAATAGTCTCACAGATACAGAGAAAAAACTGATGATTGCTAGATGGGGGGCGGGGGTGGGGATAAGGGAGAAGGTGAGGGGATTAGAAAGCACACATTGGTAACTACAGTATTGCCATAGGGATATGAAAGAGTTTGGGGAATATAATCAATAATGTTGTAAAGATTTTATAGGGTGTCAGATGGGCACATCTTGTTAGGGAAACCACTTCATGGACAGTGTAGATGCCTGACCACTGTACTGTACACCTGAAGCTGAATAATATTGACTGTCAACTATAACTTAATATATATATAGTAATGGGATGTGGAGTACAGCATAAGGGATCAAGTCAGTAGTTATAACAGCTATATACGTCGGAGGTGTAGTAGATTGGGAAAGGGGTGTAAATGTCTATTACATTGTTTTGTACACCTGAAACTAATTAAAAAAAGTTCACTTGCTTGCTACTAGCTGGTTCCCACCACTGTAAGCAGGAACTTTCATCTGTTTGGTTCACTGCTGTCTCCCAAGCATCTGTAATAGTGTCTAGCACACAAAGTTAGTAACATTTGCTGAAATGATTTTCCTGAACCTACCTCTCTCCAACTGTATTATAGATATTAAGGGAGGTAAATCCAAAAATATCTTAAAAAGCAAATAAGCTGCCTTTATAACTAAATCTAACCAGGCATATTCTCAGGAAATTAAAATATACAAAATATTGGCTGATTGTCAAGAAAAATGGTAAAACTCCACTTAACGTGTACCAGAAAGCTTAAGCCATAGAACATCCCATTCTGCAAAGCTTACTTATCACACACTGAACATTCATTTACTCAGCAAATATGTACTGGGCAGTTACTGATATGCTAGGCACATTTGGTTTTCCTGCATGAAACCTCTGAAAAAAACAGCATTTAGCCTATTAACCTCTTCTCCCGCAGCTAAATGGACCAGAAAGAATCCTAGGTGCCCTGGACACCAAACCTCAGACTAAACTGAAACATATGATCTCCTATCTCTCCTGAGAATTTGACTGAGACATACAGATACAGTCAAATGGATGATAGCTGGAACTGCAAGGTAGTGAAGAAGAGAGAATGGCTTGGGCAACCATGTTAGGCAGTGTGCATGATGAGGGTATGGAGGCCAGGAGACAGCAAGGCAGACAGACAAGAGAAGGTACGGGGAGGAGAATGAAAATACGATGTCCAAGAAACAATATACCTTGGTTCCTGACTGGCCAGCTCCAGTCCTTGGGACACTCAGCTTCGGCTAGGTTTTGTTTCCTAACCTTGCATTACCAGCAACATTATTTTACAATTGCTTGTATCTTTATAGTACTACCCCCTTTACCCAAATAAGCCTTAGTTTTTTTTTTTATAGACTCCACCTCACCATATATATTTGAAAGAAAAATATTCAGATAGTCAAGACTTTAAAAAAAATTTATCATTTATTTTTAAAGGCATTAATAAAAAGCTTAACATACTAAGAAAGTTACACTATACACATACCACTCAATTGCGATACTGACAGACTGACTTTTCTGCACTATGTGACCTTGAGTTTCTTTTAATCACTCACATTTCCACTGTTCAGTTATTCACACTAATTATTCCCTAGAAATACTGGCTGATTAAGCATGAGTCACATATGACAAGAAGAAATGCACATCATCCAAGAGTTCATGAAGAAAATGAAAATTTTGTTCACCATCGACCAGGGCACATCAAAATGCCCTTCTTGAAAGACAGCTGCACCTGAATTTGAAAAAAAAGTCTAGATAAAATTATTAAATTTAAAAATATTTTCTTATAAAATCGTAAAGAAAGAGAAAATAGAAAGGAAGGTAATGTAGTTTTAATCAAGGTAAGTAAAACTAGAATAAAAATCTGAATACAAAGACTTAATGTAATACTAATTTCAACCTTTATGGGATAAATTAAATATATACAAATTAATTGTGAAATTCATTTAGAAGAGTAAATGGACAAGAATATTTAAAAAATTTTAAGCAACAGTAGTATTTGATCTGACTTAATAGAATTTAAAACATTACAAAACAATGATCAAAATAATGTGTTAAAAACAATAGTGATTACAACAATGCAAACATTCTCCAACTACAATATAAATCTAAAAAGTATTCCTAACTACTCAGGAATTAAAACATTTATTAAACATTCCCAGAGTTGGAAACAAACCTAAACTTTTGGAATACCTAGAAAATTATAAGAATTCTACATAATAGAATCTACAGAATACAACTAAAGCACTGTTCAGAGGAAACTTTGTGGTGTTAAAATACCCACTTTAGTAGATAATAGTTAAGAAGGGAATTTTAAAAACTTGAAAGCAGAAAGAAGAAATTAATCCCTGGTGTATAATCTGGGTCCACTGGACCCAATTTTAGTTTTTGAGTTTCTTTTTCAAGCAGTCCTATTTTTAAGGATTCATAACTCACTGTT